ATTAAAAAAATTCTGTTCACCAACTCCTACTTGTATTAAAAGTGAAGACCAGTATTATTTCAAATGTTTCCAAAATAAAAGGATAAGGATTTTTACCTCCTGCTTTCCATCCAAACTGGTAAGGAGCACTGGTCGGCCTATACATATGTTTGCAGATTTCATAGTGTTAAGTCCAAGATGAACAAGAGAATTCTGGAATGTCTTAGGAACTTTGCCATCTACTATAAAAAAAAAGAAAAAGAAAGAAAGAAAGAATTTATTTTATATGAAAATCCTATGTTCATATAACTGCATCAATGAACTTATACCCTGAAGAAACTTTTAAAAAAACAAACAAACAAAGGTGAAGCCAAACCTCTTTGAATGTTTATTGGCTATATGTATGTATGACTATAATCTACAAAGTTTAAAGAGAAGAAAAAAAATCTCTTGGTTCACTAACAACCTATTTGTAACTGGGTAGTGGTGTCATATTCCTTTAATCCCAGCTCTCGAGAAGCAGAGGCAGGCAGATCTTTGAGTTCAAGGCCAGCCTGGTCAACAGAGTGAGACCAAGGACAGCAAAGGCTACATGGAGAAACACTGCCTCAAAAACCAAATCAAACCAAACCAAACCAAACCAACAAAAAAAACACACACACAAAACCAACAGCCAAAAACCAAAACATACTTGTGGCCGGGGTACTGACTCAGCATTATCAAAAACAAACAGCAACAAACTAACTACACTTCCTATGGTCTCCATGCTTTTTGCAGAAAGATTCTGAGTCAGCTACTAGGTTTCAGAGACTCCCACTAAGTACTGGCATATCCATTTGGCTCTAGACACTTGATTCCACATCCAGACTTTCCCTAAAAACCTCCACATCTCCCTGTTAATGGAGATCATGTACAATTTCTATCCAAATCCTTGTTTCCCAATATATTATACAGTTCTCTGCTTACAGGATCCAAATCAAGTCAAGCTCTCCACAGAATTCTACCAGTCTCTATTCCTCCAAGACTCTATATTTAGTGTCTGCATGCATGTGCGTGGCAGTGGAGTCCGTTCTTTCCTCATACCACGCAGGTCCCATGCACATTGTCACTCATCGATCGACAGACATTCACTGCAGCAGTCTAAAGCAGGTCACATTACATTCAAAAGGAAGCAATGAATGCATACATGAACTTAGTGTTCTCTGCTCTGTCAATGTGATGTGACTAGTTCTCTCAAGCTCCTGCCACTGTGACTTCCTTTGATGATGAACTATAACCTAGAATTATGAGCTGCAATGAATCCATTCTCCCTTAAGCTGACTTTTCAGGTATTTTATTACAGCAATGGAAAGAAAACCAGGTCAGTCTCCCCATTCATTACAGGTAGGCACCATCATACTATAGCTCTATGTTTAGTGTGTTGAGACAGGATCTCTTACTCAATCAGAAAGAAGTTTGATAGCTTTTGGCTAATCTGGGCCAGTGAACTCCTAGGATTCACCTACCTCTAGCCTCAATTATTTGGTTAGAAGACATACAGCCATACTCAGTTTTTTACATGGGTGCTGGGGATGCAAACATAGGTCCTTGTGCTTGCAAAGCAAGTGCTTTTAGCCACTCAACTATCTCCCTAGTTCCTACACCCAGCTTTTTACATGGGTGATACCTCAACTCTGGTTCTTAAAATCTTTACTCACTAAATCATTTCACTAGTCCATAAAGTCAATTTCAAACAACCATCCACCTTTGTTCTATCACCTCATGGAGTTTTATAATCTAGCAGGATGAATTACTAAATGAGTACAGAAAAACTGTATAGTTACGAACTATAATTATACAATAATAGAATACTGAGAGATCTAGCAAAGCCTATTATTATGTATGATCTGACCTAATTTGGAAAAATTAGAAACTGTTATTCAAAGAAAGTGCTGCTAACATTCAGGTATGGAGGAAGATGAAGAAATAATTAAATAGAAAAACAATTTGTATTTCTTAACAACAACAACAAAATGCATAGAGAAATGTTGTGGATAGACAGGAGCATGATACATCCTTCAAAGACTAAGAGGTTTGCTTAAGGAAGGCCAAAACCATCTATGACAGTGTACTGCATCAAGATTTGGGCCATAACCCTGACAACAACGGAAGCCCATAGAGATTAATAGCAAAACCATGACAAGATTTTTATTTTAAAAGATCATTCTGACTATAAAGTAGAAAAAGAGTAAGAGAACAGAAGTGAAAACAGACAGGCCCCTGTAGTAGTTCAGGTGGGAGATGATGTTGTTTGAGTTGTTGAGAAGCAGCAGGAAGGCTGTGAAAAGGAATACAGAGACTATCTGGATGATATACAAGATCAGCAATAACAGATGTGAGAACGGGTGCTATTGTGCCTGACCCTTAGGTTTCTGAATTTTATAAGGAGTAAAGCTTGTATAACTGGAAGAAGTAGACTAAGGAAGTTGCCTTTAAAGTGACTGAGAAATTAAAGGGTAATGACATTTAGAAAGGTAAGGAAATTAGAGGTAATGGACAGTGCTATTCAAAACATAGTCTACAAACTACTTGTTATTAGCTCATAATAAGGCTAAGTACAAAAAAAAATCACTTGGAAACTTTTACTGCAAGCAGATGAAAGTTTGTGTCTATGAACCCAATAAATTTCATTATTCTGCTTTTTAAACTTTTCCTAATTACACTATCTTATAAAAGTGTCAATCTGTGACCTACTGAACATTTTTAACTTTGCTTCATGTTTGAGAAATTCTGATGTAAAACACAACTGAATCAAGACTCAGAAATAGTATGCTGTACAAAAATAAAATTAAAAATTGAAGAGAATATAAATGGGAAACTTAGCTTTGGATATTCTTGCCTTAAAAAATATTTAGAGAAGAAAGAGGGCATCATATTTAGAATTGAGAAACATTAATATTGCAGAATCAGGTGGAAAAGGGTAAACCTACAGAGAAAATAACTGCCAATGCACATGGAGAAAAACTAGGGAAGTATAATGGTAAATAAAATAAGTAGCAAGATGTTTTGAGGAATTAAAGATCAACAATGTCAAAGACTACAGAGTCAAAAGGCAAGTAATGAAAACCATCCACTGGATCTGACAACACAGAGACTATCTGTGACCATTACAAAGCAGTGCCCAAGAGATGATGGCATGGAAGTTGTGGTGATTGACAAATAGGCAGAGAACACTCCATTTAATGAGTAGACAATTAAAAGGTGTAGAGAGAGAGAGTGGTGGCAGGAAAAAATAGTGGAACTTTTTCCAGTGGTTTAAGCCATTAGAGAATTATCATGTGCAAATGACAGTGGGAAGGAACTACTTGAAAAGATATTGAATCTGCAGAACAGAACAAGCTGTATCCTGATTGCTAAGGCAGATTAAAAACACTATGCTAACGCTAAGATAGTCTTGAAAGTCTTACTGGATATAAAAACCATGCCCCTAGTTTGCTCCATTTTTTCAGAACAACTAGACATCAAGCATGCTAAAGCGTTTGCCAAGTAAATGACTTTTCAGACCTGAAGTCTGCCCATTCACCAAGCCAAAAAAAACCTCACCTAAGACAATGGCTCTGGAATCAAACAAATCTGAACTCAAACATGGATTCTGCCATCTCGTACCCGTGTAACTCCGAGGCAACTCCGTTAGCTGTTTCTACTCTGTGAAATGGGTATCATTACGTACTCATTTACCACTATTTCTGTGAAAACTAGATGAGCCACGCACGTAACTTACTACTAACAGCAGAGTGCAATTAGTCAAGAGCAGTTAACTAAACATTGTTGTCCCTAAAGACACAACGCTGTCTGTTAGGCAGTACGGATTCGTCATCAAAAATTAGCTTTTTAGAGCAAGTTCTACTAGGTTTGCAGTGCTGACTAGACAGTAAATCTTCAAGGAGCTAAGGCCATCTCGAGTGTGGTCATAGCTCAGTTGCTAGTCAAGCGTGGCGTACGCAAGGCCCCGGGCTCAACCTCCAGGACTCCCAAAGTATCTAAGGAAGAATAAATCGTAAAAGGAAAATTCTGAACATTTTGCGAACAGGGCCTGGAGGCTCAGGCCTGGCAGCTAAGCGGTCCGCAGGCTCCCGTGTCACGCCCACCTTCACACGCCCCGCTCCCCTCAGGCGCCTCAGCCTCACCGCTGCCCGCGCTTTCCTCACCTTTCTCAAGGAAGTTGGTCACCACCAGCATCCCCGGAGCCGCCACGTTCGGCTGGGCGAGAGGAGTCGAGGTCCCCGAGCGAGACGAAGCAGCAGAGAGCGAGGGAGAGGTGCCCTCCGCGCCCTCTTTCTGTCGCTTTCTGTTCTTCTTGGAAGACATGACCACAGGATGTCGGAGAAAAGCAGCCCAGAGCCGGCTCAACGTGCGCGGCACGGGGATAAAACTTCCGGGTCAGAGGTCAGCAGCGCAGCGTTCACGCCGTAATGCTCCGCGTAGAGCGCAGCCCGCGAGGCTGAGACGGTTAGCGAGGGTCTCGCAAGACACCGTTTCGTAAAGAAAACGGGCTTGGCGTAGGAACCGCCGTTTACGTTATGAACCCTTGAAAAGTGAACTTCGGTTGTTCCTCTGCTTTACCTACTCTCAAAGCAAATGTGGGTTGGCTTAAAGTAACAACAACAAAAGCAATCAGAAAGTTTCTCCTCTCTGTCCCAGATTCGTGGAGGACAATCAGCTCCACTAAGCTCCCTGCCAAATAGAAAGTCCAGCTCAAGCTTAGCGGATGACGACACTTTTCGAGAGTTTACGGTTGTCCCCTCTCCCAGCGAAAAGGGGCGGAGCGAACTCCGGAAGACGCCTGAGATTGTTCGCGGCGAGATGGGGCGGGGCGATCGCCGGAAGGAGGTGATGTTGCACGGGGTCACGAGAGCGAGGCGGGAAGGGGCGGGGCGGGCGCCAAGGGTGAGACGAGGCTTCGTCGGGCGATGTGGGAGGGGCGGGGCGATGTGGGCGGGGCGGGGTGGGGCGGGGCGAAGTGGAAGGAAGCGAGGGTCCGAAAGGCTAGGTGCAAGCCATGTGGTGGGTTCGGAGAGCCCGTTGCTGGTACTCCGTATTGCTCGACGCGGGCGGAGCCAGGCTCAGGATGGGGCGGCGCACAGCCTCAGGCGCCCTGGAGAACCCGGGCTCCTGCGGGGGCGAGCTACAAGGCGAGCTGGACAGATTTGGGGGCGTCTCCGTGCACTTGTCGCGGCACCACACGCTGCACGGGCTGGATGCCGCCGCCTTCCGGAGGCTCTTGCAGGGCAAGTGCGGGTCTCGGGCCCGGAAACCAGGGCGGAGCGTGTGGGCTCTGAGGTGAAAGCTGAAAGGACACCCGGTGGTCCTCTCGCTGTGACCTGGAAGTGCTCTCAGCCATGACCGGATTCAATCCCTGGATATTCATCCTGGATATTTGCCCTTGAGATTGACGCGGGGTTCGCAGCGCCTGGCACGGTGTCGGCCACACGTTTAACTCTTAGTAAACACTGACAGCCTTAGTTTTGCTGGTACTTCGATTCTGCAACGCGCTTTGCCAGGCCAAACTGTCTCCTGATCGGGACGGGGCCAGTGCTTGTTTCTGTGCACAGAGCTTTGCAGTTTTCACTTTGGGATAAGTGTCTGATTTGTTAGAGCAACCAGTTGTTGTTTTTTTCTTTTCTTTTTTCATTTATTTATTTATCTTCTCTGAGGTTACTCACCCACCCACCCGCTCCCACCTTCCCTCCCTGGTATTCCCCAACACTGGGACATCGAATCTCCTCCGGCCCAAGGGCCACTCCTCCCCCTTATGTCCAACAAGGCCATCCTCTGCCACATATGGGGCCAGAGCCATGGATCCCTCCATGTGTACTCTTTGGTTGGTGGCATAGCATGGAAATTTAGCAATGGGAAAGATACTTTCACATAATCAGGAAACCACAAATGATCTTTATTCTGTGAGCAACCTGCATGGCAAGCTAGTGTCTCTAATGCTGTTTAATCTTCAAACCAACCTACTTCACATCATCTCTCCTGCTTATAAGTGCTTAGAGTTCAACAATATAGCCAGTAGGAGGATCGAATCAATTCATCCTCTGATGGGTGCATGGATGAGCACAGGTATTAGTCGTACATAGGGTTTCCCAGTGGCTGATGATACTCTAAGCACCACTCCAGAAAGTGTATTGGACCTGGAAACATGTCCAGGGTTCAAGTCCAAGATTGTGCCACGCACTTTGCCAGGCATTCATTAATCAAACGACCACTGAAAAGACTTTTTAGGTGAATAATGCTAGCCAGCTCTAGATACTGGATAAGTGTGATCAAAGACACCTTGAATGAAACCCTTTAATAAAACATTTCACTGTCATCAAGTACTAGACATTGTTTTAAGAATCTAACAAATAGGAATGTATGTCATCTTCATAACCTGGAAAGTACATGCTCATCCCAGTTGAAAGATGATGGTGGCAAGGCCCAGAGACAGCGGGTACGTTCCTCTGGCTCTGGTCTGTGCTTTCTTCACGCTGCTCTGTAAGTCTTCCATTGTTCTGTTGTGATTGAATCAAACAAAATTAGTTGGCAGTGCCTGTAAAGAGGAGCTAATTTGAGAAGAAAGCCTCATTAGATATGTGTCTCTTCAAGATTAAACGTTGTAATTCATCAGTAATGGCTATTAAAGCACATTTGCTCATGAAGGTCACTATTTCTTTACTACTGTTTTCACACAACTCAGATATTAGGATTATAGTATACTTAGCCCTACATAGAATACTTTCTTGGTGGAGGGGTTTTGAGATAGGTAAATGTTATAGATAGCTCACACTGGCTACAAACTCATGACCCTCTCCCCTTGCTTCCAGTATTACAGAGGTAATTATCATGCCTGGAATCACATAGAGTTTGCCCTGTGTGTGAAATAGCCCTGCTCCTAGTGGGAGAATTGCAAATTCATGACATCTTAACTAGGAATAGAAAACTAGTTAGTAGATGCCATCTGATGATATAAATCACCAGATAAATTCTAATAAATCACACACAGATATCATATGGTCTTGAGCTCACATAATAGTAGCACATGAGCAGAGGTCAGGAAAGACTATTGAAGAGGCTGAGCTTCTAGGAGCTCATAAAAGCTGTGGAGACAGGGAAGGGAGGGAAAGCCACACTACTATAGGGAAAAAAAGAAAAATTCCTTTAAATAATTAATAAATAAAATTCGAAGAGTGGAAGTTGGCTGGTTAGCTTGTAGGATACATAGGGAAGCTGCTGATACTGAAGAATCCACGTTCATTGAAGGAACTTTAATGATAGACTGCTCAATATGTAACAAAAAGGGCACAACATAAGCTGTAGACATGTTAACGCAAAAAAGTCACAAAAAATTTCTCTCTTCAGGCTAGTAATAGAAAGTTCTGACTTACCATTTTATTTCTATTCTTTAACCACCTTGCAGTTTGTAAACCAAGAATAACATCAGAACGCTTATGTAAGAGTTAAAAAAAAAAACCTTCCATCATCATTTTTGAAGATTAAAATTAAGGGCATTCAGAGAATTAGGATGTGCTGGGGATTTGGCTCTGGGGTGGAGTACCCTGTAGCATAAGCAGCTCTGGAAAGAAGAAGAAGCACCAAAACTTCATATGAATCAGTTTCTTTGTCCCTTCTATAGTGACTGAGCGCCTGCTGTGTGCTGGGCCTGTATTTGGGTGGTTTGGTTACAAACACCAGCGCTATGATGGGTGGAGAATAAACAACTGGGCTATAGTGATGCAGAGAGGTGGGGACCGTCATCTCACATAAAAGCTTTATGGGGTGTATCTTCCTCCCTCTGCGTTCCAGCCACCATTCAGCAGTGGCGATCGGAAGGAAGGATAGCTGCCTGGCTGCACATCCCCATCCAGCAGAGCCACTTCATCGCCCCCGCTGCTTCCCTGGGATTTTGCTTCCACCACGCAGAACCCCATTCCTCAACACTGACTATGTGGCTGGGAGAAGGACCCAGCAGACTCCCGGGGTATGCTACACACCAAGTAGGTGTTGCAGGTCAGTTTCGGACTCCTAACCACAGGAACTACCGTTTCAGAGGTTTACCATGTCTCCTTGAAGCTGGGCTGCTAGTCTGTCTGTGAGTGCTGGTCAGTGAGCACTGCATGACTGTTCACTGTGCAGCTGTGGCATTGTGCTTCTCAAAAAAGAAAGGGTGTCTGACCCGTGAAGTACAGGCTGGCATAGAAAACAAGTGGAGAAACAGGCTTCCCAAAGGCCACATTTAACATGCTTCACACAGATATTTGAGCTTCCGTTCTCGGTAGTGGCACTGAATTGGGATAAGGAAATACATTACACTCTTTAAAGTATGTGTCACTCCAAATAAACATGAAATTCTCCAGAAAGTAACTTTTTTAGTGGGGGGAGGTTATGGTGATTTGAGTATGTTGCAGTCAGACATGCATATTCAAGAAGGCAAGAATATGTTTCAAAGGATAAAACTGATAATATTCAGGTACTTCAAAGAGTAATCCTTGGACACAGACATTAAGGGATATAGTGGCATTGGTCAAAGGTTGGGCATGTCCTTGTGGAGTACTCACGTTCTGGCTGCAGCCAACTGTGGTTCCAGCAGTCTTTTGTGATAGTTATTGTCAGGCATTCATATTAAGAACTTGCCCTTCATAATCTCCCAGATTCATTTCCTTTTGTTAGGATTGACACAAGGAACCCCATTTTGATTCTGATGAAGTTCATGACTGTTTCAGCCGAAATATGTGCTAAATGTATAACACTGAACAGGAAACCTTTTAGGTTGAACTTGAAGCAAGGCAAACTAACCATATGGTTAATTGACTGTTACTTCCTAAGATTTTACATGGTTAATGTGTCAAGTGGTAGCAGTTTAAGATTGAACAGTGAAACTATGGTAGAGCCTTGAACTGTGTGTGTGTGTGTGTGTGTGAGTGTAGTAGTAGTATATAAGGTGGACGCCAGAGGACAACCTTGGGTGTCATTCCTCAGGTACCATCCACCTTGCTAGATAGCAAGCCCCGGGGATCTTCCACCTCCTAACACTGCATCTATCTACAGATGCACCTATGCACCTCACTGTACCTGGCTTTTTATGTGGATGCTGAGGATCTGAACTCGGTTCTCCATGCTTGTCTGGGAAGCATTTTACTGACTTCAGAAAACCTCTCAAACCTATTGTCTAAATAGGGACCGCCTCCATGTCAATCCCACCAGTCTATGACTCTATCCAAATATTTTTAAATAGCACCCAGTGCGAGCCAGTTATATATGTACTTACTCTCCCCAACAATATGCAAAGTCTAGGAAGCCAGCCATTTTGTGTGTTGTTCGCCATGTTTCCTAGGGCTAAAGACAGAGCAAGTACAAAGTAGGAACCAAGTATGCCATGGATAGATGGACTAAGGGGTGTCAGGAGGATGAATTAATGGATGGACGGGTGAGTAGATGGGTGGATGATGACATCTTCAAGTAGGGGACAGTAGCTATGTCTTGATGGAGCAGTGTTGTTTATGAGAGTGTCCGTTTGGAATAAAGCCACAGCTCTCCCACTGATGGCTGTGTGGACTCAGTCACTTTTTATGACACTCATGTGCAGACTTCTGAGCTACTGCACAGGAGACACACTGTGTCTAATATGCTTTTGGAACTTCTGTTTAATTACAATCTTGAGTTGGTTTAACTTTATGCTGTGGCCAGCAGAGGTCGCTCCAATTGTGTGTAATATCTTTTCACTGTGAGTTTATGCTGTTAGTGACTACAGTAAAGAAAAGAGACATTGGATAATCACAAGTCTTCAAATCTAAAAATACATTTCTTGGCATTCTGTCCCTTGGAAAGACAAATTAAATTTACATCTTCTGATACTTTCCTCACTGGAGCTAATATATTTACTAGTTTTCTTTCCAGCCTTGAGAGTACCAAGTGCAGTGTTTCATTTTAGTTACTTTTTTTAATGTTTGAATTTTTAAAATAAATTTTATTTGTGAGTGTGTGTGTGAGGGAGGGGATGCAAGTACCCATAGCGATTAGGAAAGGACATCAGATCCTGGGAGCTGGAGTTACAAGTAGTTGTAAGCCATCTGATGGGAGTGCTGGGTACTGAACTTGGGTCCCCTGCCAGAACAGTATAGGTTCTTAACCTTTGAGCATCTCTCCAGCCCCTCCATTACAAACAGGCTCTCCTTTCACATGAATTCCCTCTGCATGTTTGTTTGTGGTGGTTTTTTCCACTTTCTGGTCTGAATAACTTGACTTTCATTTGCTTGCACGCCACACACAGCAGGACATTGTGTTGTGTTTACCACTGTATTCCCAGCACCTGGTAAAATACCTTATACACAATATGAGCTCAGCTAATATATAAGGGGCTTCTGTATGTTTCATAGAAAGACTCAAAAAGGAATATTAAAAGAATAGATAAGTGTATAGAAAATACCTTCCCATAAAGATATGTTGAAGTTAGCCCATTTCAAGGATTCTAGTACAAATCATTAAAGTGTTATGGTTTTGACCCAGGATTGCCCAAACAAAAATACTAAAAGAGGGGCTGGAGAGATGGCTCAGCAGTTACGAGTACCTGATGCTCCTCCAGACCACCAGAGTTTGATTCTTGGCATCCTCATGATTCATAACCATCTGTAACTCCAGTCCCAGCTGACCTGCCACCCCCGCTGGCCAGAGGCACGACATGCACATAGTACAGACGTTCTGTAGGCAAAGCACCCATAATAAGATAAAGAGGGAAAAAATTTAAGTACTGAAAAGAGAAGAGGAAGGACAGTGGTTTTAGTCCTGACATCTAGCAGAGTCCACAGTGCAGAGCAGTGTGTCTGACGGATGAGTAAAGGAAAGTGCTGCGAGGGAGCTTCAGGCCTGCAAACAGCCTTCCAAATGTATGTGTGTGCTCCAGGATACATGCACACACAGTAAGGAAGTGTAACTGGCCTCAGACAGGTCCTGATGGATATTGAGATAGTTGGGGTCTGAACAGCCAGGAAGCAGAAACCCGAAATCTGTCCTGTGCTTCAAGAAGTTAGAATTAGAACAAAAATCCAGTACGTCTTCAGTGCTTAAGCACTGCAATGTGAATACTTGAGTCATGTTAGAATCCTAATCCCCGGGTGTTGGCAGTAATAGGTGAGGGCTGCACAGGTGGCTCGGTTCTGTGGGCAACGCTTTAATAAGGTATTGGGGTCCTTATTGACAGTGGCCTGAGAGGCTCGGCCTGAGAGGCTCAGCCTGAGGTCCATGTGGGAATGCTCTCTATGCGAAGCAGCTCTCCTAAGACACCTGCACGTTGCCATTTTGATCTTGGACTTCTTAGCTTCTCAACCTGTGAGAAAGAGAATGTTCTAAGTTCTCAGTAGACAGTATCTTTAGAGAGCCAGATGGGCTGTAGCAAGCACTCACAGCTGTGACCACCAAGGAAAATGTTACTAAAGGATAAAAAAGATCTTCATCTGTGCCAGGAGACAGACAGTCTTGCAGGTGATTATTGTACAAATTTAATATTTCCATTCCAAATTGTTGGAAGGGAGGGAGAATGGAAGAAAGGAAGGAGGGGGGGAGGGGGAGAGGGGGGGGGGGGGAGGGAGGGAGGGGAGAGAGAGAGAGAGAGAGAGAGAGAGAGAGAGAGAGAGAGAGAGAGAGAGAGAGAACACTAGTCAATTGAGCAATGACCTCCTTGCTGGAGATGTGTTTTACAGTCTTCATGGCTGAGGTGCTGAGGTAACTAAACCAGGCCTTCAAATAAGGGATTTTAATGGGTGACCACAAGTTAGTATGGAGGAATTGAAGGTCAATGAAATTAATATTTTGCAATTATCTTCCCCCCCCCCAAAAGGTGCTGTATTTGATGTTAGCACCAGGAAAGTACTGGTTGTACAAGATCGAAATAAAGTAAGTTGTTTCTCCCGTGTAAATTGCTTTCCAAGGGCTTCTCTCTAGAGAAACATAAAATGTAGACATGTTGATACAGCTAAGGGAATACAGAAAGGTACTTCAATAGTTACTTCTAAACAGTTATGGAATGCTAGATACTTACCTAAATAAAGTTGTGATACAGACCTGAACCTGTCAGCATGATCCTCAGTGTTGTGCTTACTTCATGGCTGTAGAGCATTACAAATGGTAGTGTTTAATTGGGAAGATACATTATTGAGGTAGCATCCAATCAGTCAGCATTCTTAGTGTTGCCAGGAGCTCTTCTCCCAGTACAGAGAGAACAGAGACTGAAAACACATTACCCAGCCGTCTTGCAGCACAGTCTTTGGACTGTCCTAGAGTGGATACTGACAATTAACTCTACCCTAAGAGCCTCCAGAGATGCATCAGAGAAAGTGACATTTCAAGTTCAGTCTAAAAGAGTGAGTAGAAATCTACCAGATTAAGAAAGAGGAGGGAGGGAGGAGAGAGGGAGGGGACAGAGAGG